TTTGTTGTCCTCTTCTCCCTCTCTGCCTACGGTTTACCGGGCAGTTCTATTTGACGATATATACACACAGGGTAACCGGCGTTCGGGACTAGCTGAACGCCCAAACGTACGGGACCCCTTGGGAATGCGTTCGGCCGTTTGGGCCGAACGCAGACCAAAAAAAAACAAACAAACATCTCAAAAAAAATCTGAAAAAGAGATATGTTATCAAGACAAATAAAATAAACAACATTTGCCTGAGCATTACATCCAAAATCATTACCAAAATTTAAATAAAAATTAAAAACAAAAAATAAAACTAATAAGAAAAATAAGAAAAAATGAAAAGAGAATTAAAATTAGTGAGTGAGCGAGAACGTTTTCGACACCACCATCTTTGGCGATTTTTCTTCTTTTTTTTTTGGCACAGCCAAATGCCCTGAAAATTTACAGATGTGTACTTCACATAATACAAAACTCGCTAAAAAAAATTCAAAATATAATAAAATTGTTTAGGACCCGCAATAAAGTGAAAACAAAAAGTAAAAAGTAAAAAGTAAAAAGAAAAAAAAAAACAAAATAGTCACGTTTTTACACCACCATCTTTGACGATTTTTAATTTTTGTTTGGCTTACCAGAATGACTTCAAAATTTATAGGCATGTATCTCACATCATAGAGAACTAAAAAAAAACGTTTCAGAGAAAAGACCTTATTTCTAGACCCCTATAATTTTTGGCGGGGTCCAAACGCCTTCAGGTTCGGACCCCGAACGGGACCCCAAACGCCCGTACGTACGCACGTACGGGCTGGTGACCCTGTATATATATCGTCACAAACAGAACTGCCCGGTAAACCGTAGGCAAAGAGAGAGAAGAGGACAACAAACGAGGGGCTGTGACAAACTGTTTCGTCGGAGTTTCACCGACTCATATATATATATATATGCGATATATGCATATATATCGTCAAATAGAACTGCCCGGTAAACCGTAGGCAGAGAGGGAGAAGAGGACAACAAACGAGGGGCTGTGACAAACTGTTTCGTCGGAGTTTCACCGACTATATATATATATATGAGTTCAGCCTCCTGATGAGTCGGTGAAACTCCGACGAAACACTTGGTCACAGCCCCTAGTTTGTTGTCCTCTTCTCCCTCCCTGCCTACGGTTTACCGGGCATCTCTGTTTGACAATATATATCGTCACAGATTGAGGATTCAACCTCCTAATGAGTCTGTGAAACTCCGACGAAGTAGTTTGTCACAGCCCCTGGTTTGTCATCCTCTTCTTCCTCTCTGCCTACGGTTTACCGGGCAGCTCTGTTTGACGATATATATATTGTCACATAACTATGGACTAAAAGAGCGCACTTTGCGAAACAAATGGCAAAAACGAAAAATGGAAAAAACAAGACAAACATGAAGGGCACACTGAAACCATTCATTTTTCTCATTCTTCTTTTAACTCCCCCTTCACCGTGCCTCTCGCGTACAAGGCTAGCCACGTTGATGAAGTTGAGCGCAAGCTGCCCCCCTTCCCCGTGTGCCATAACAGCCCACTTTCACGCTGTGAGAATGAGGCAGAGTGCAGGGGGAGGGATAAACACAGGGAGGAGAGATGGAGAGCAGACAAACAAAGAATGATAAAGGGAAAGTAAGGG